CTGGCGCCCTCTTCTGGCCTGCAGACAGAATACTATACATAATAAAATATTTTTCTAAAAGAGCTGGCATAGTGGCATATGCCTTTAATCTCAGCACTTGGAAGACAGAGGCAGGTGGATCTCTGAGTTCCTAGTCTTTCATGGAACATAGCAGAGCTTTTCTGAAAACTAATAATCAATACTATTTTTTAAAAAAATCTAGTAAAACAAGATGCCGAGTATTGTATGCCAGTAATACAGCAGCCACGGGCAAGCTAAAGTGGGAGGATTAGCTGAGCTCTGGATTTCAAGATTAGCCTGGACCACAGAACAAGGGAGGTTAGGCAAGTGGATCTGGAGTTCAAGGCCAGCCTCCGGGCTGCAGAGCAAGTTCAGGCCCAACCTGGGCTGAATGAGATCCTATTTCAAAACAAGTTAAAAATTGTAACAAGGGCTGGAGAGATGGCTCAGAGGTTAAGGACACTGACTGCTCTTCCAGAGGTCTTGAGTTCAATTCCCAGCAACCACATGGTGGCTCACAACCATCATATAATGAGATATGGTGCCCTCTTCTGACATGGAGGCACAATACTGTATTGTATATATAATAAATAAAATCTTAAAAAAAAATTGTAACAAAACAAGCAACCAAAGAAGAGGTCTCTTTGCCACCAGGGGCGGGATGAGGCACAAAGCCAGTAGCCTGGGAGGTATAGAAATCTCAAATGGAAAAAGCAGCTCTCCTAGTTCTCCCCTCCCCACCCGGATGCCAGAGGTGCCTCCCAGTCACTCAACATCATCAGAAACGGGGTGCCTGACCACCCTGCAAAGAAGTGTGTGGTTTATTCTAGCCAGGCCAGCGGTTCCGCACCCGCCTCTGCTTACTGTCCCTCTGGACACACCATCAGATATGCTCCCTGTGGAAGCAGAGCAAAAGCAAAACAGAGGGACTGAGTAGAGTTGTGGCCCAGTGCTCGGGATAAGGAGCCTGCGCCTCCCACCTGCTCCCTCTCTTGACATGCACAAGAACGGTAACAGAATAGAGAATTCAGCAACACTAGACTGTCTGCTGAGCCACAGCTGGTCTTATTAAACCAAAGAGCTGGCTTGATAAGAGCAGAACAAAAGACGCCACGTGGAATCTTCCAGAACATTCACCATCAGCCTGGTGAATCCCACACTATACAGTTGTCCCTCTGTGGTCCTAGCCCTATGGGCCTAGGGTCCCATCCTGGAGGAGAAAGCCACCTCAGCAGAAGCACCATCCCAGTCTTGCTTGATTGCAGATCCCCAGGTCCTAGTTGTTCAGGCCTTGAGCAGAATTTCTAGTGCCTGCAGATACATCAGGGACAGGCCTGGGCCCCTGCCTGCGTGGGGCTCAGTGGGCAGCGGCTGATGTTCACAGGAAGCTGGTGAGGTGGGAGGCTTGAAGGGGTGCCTTGCCACAGTCAGCTCTCACCAGAGGTAGACATTAGACCGAAGGACGCGAACCACCCTAGCGGTGTGCTTGTGCACATCTGGAGAGCCGCTGAAAGGCTTGAGCTAAAGATGGGGGCAGTCGCTTGTGCTGTGCCAAAGCTGTGCACAGCTGGAGACCTTGAGCTTTAGGCAAGGGGTTGGGATGGGAATGCAGCAGATGTCAGGGTGCTGTGTAGGAGGCAGGTGTGAGGATGCCACTGTGGGTCCCTTAGCTGTGCGTGGCATTCCCACAGAAATGAATTCTGATGAGTTCAACCTGGGCTCTGGCTCCTCGTAACACCCCAGGTCCTTGTCAAGATGATACACGGATTTCAGTATATACTGTCTCCATCCCAAAAGTGGGGTCCCTTCCTTGTAGCGCTCAATTGTGTCTCATTGTTTAGTTCAAGAACTTGAAACACTTACCCCCCAGGAATCTCCCCAGGGGGAACCTGCCCAAACCTGCTGTCTCCACGGTAACTGGATGCCTCAGAGGAACCAGGCTGCCCTGAGCACCCTAGTCTCTTACAGTTAGTTATCAGAGTACCAAACAATCTGGCTCTTCCACTCCGGGCTCTACCGCCAAATGCTTGTGGCTCTGCAAGGTATAAACCTTGATCATCACTTCAAATAGAGCAAGTGGATTTGGGATTGTGTCTTTTGCAGTGTTTTATCCTCCTTTCTGACTCTCCAGTCAAGGTCACTAGAATATACTCTGTTAGCAGAACAGACTTTCTGTTGTTTCTTGAGACAAGTTCTCGCTGTGTAACCCTGGCTGTCTTGAAACCTGCTATCTAGACCAGGCTGGCCTCTAACTCAGAGATCCGCCCGTCTCTGCCTCCCAAGTGCTGGGATTAAGGATGTCTGACGCCATGCCCGGCTCCAGTACCTCATTAAAATACATTTTATAGCCAGGCATAGTGGACAGCCATGTGTAACAAGATTAATAAAAACCCTGAGACAGAAATTAGGATTCAACCTGAAGGTCAGAAAAGCAAAACAGGCAGCCACTGGCCCTTAGATCTACGTCAGTTCAGATTGCCAATCCTGCCTCCAGGAATCTCAGAATGAGACTGTGTGAGAGCATTCTCCCGTTTTACACTCCTCTCTAGGGCTGGGATTAAAGGCGTGCACCACTACCATCCGGTTTCTATGACAAACTAGTGTGGCTAATGGAATTAAAGGTGTGTCACCACTGTCTGGTCTGTTAAGAATGAAAAATGCAGATGTTTTACTCTAATCTTCAGGCAAGCTTTATTAAAATACAAATAAAATATCACTTCAGCCATGTCTTGGGAAAACTTTTTAAGATACAGTTTATATATTTTGTTTCTTTGTTTTTTGAGACAGCTGGCCTTCAACTTTGGACCTTCGTCTCCTGGATGCTAGAATTATATTGGACTAAAAATAAACGAGCCTAGGGAACTAGAGAGATGATGCCTCATTAGTTAAGAGCAGCTGCTGCTCTTGCAGAGGCCCAGGCTTTGGTTCCCAGAACCCACATGGTTGCTGCCAGCCATCCTTAACTCCAGTTCCAGGAGATCCAGCACCCTCTCCTGGCCTTCGTGGGCACCAGGATTGCATGTGGTGCACACACATACATGAAAACAAAACACTCATAAAATAAAAGAAACAAACCTGTGTTTGGAAGCAGGGTGTAGTAGTTTACATCTGTAGTCCCAGCTCTGGAAGGGATCAATACAAGTTCAAAGCCATCCTGGGCTGTTGAGTGAAACCTTGTTACTAAAAACTGAAGAGGATGTGGTGGAGTGATGGACGCCGGTGTGTGCGTGTGCATGTGTGTGTGTGTGTGCATGCGCGCATGTGTGCGCATGCAGGGTGGGGGGCGCAGGGTGGGGGGTGTCTTAGAGTAAAATAAGGCTGGTATACTTCAGCTGCACATCCTGTAGGAGTGAAAAGCCGGGAGCCTAGACACCAACCCTTCTGCATTATATGGTTGGGCTTATCCCATCAACTAAGAGGAGACACATGCTTCTTAAAACCAGTGCTGTGCCGGGCGGTGGCGCACGCCTTTAATCCCAGCACTCAGGAGGCTGAGGCAGGCAGGCAGATCTCTGTGAATTGGAGGCCAGCCTGGTCCACAGAGCAAGTTCCAGAATAGCCAGGATTGTTACATGGAGAAACCCTGTTTCAACAAAACAAAACAAAACAAAACCCACCAGTGACTTGCTATAGAATCGAGTTCTCCCTGTTGCTGAGAGATCTTCCTGTCACAGCTGGAGCTCACAAGTGGTGACCAAACTGTTTCTTCCAGGTAAAATAACACTCTGGCCTGGAGGAAGTAACTCAGTGGGAGCGCACTTGCTCTCACACAAGTGTGCTTGAGATTCCTTCCCAGTCTAGCATCTAGCCGAAGTTGGAACCCCATTTTGTTGCGTGAGCCGGGAGACTGCTCAGATCGCCTTGAACTGGCCTCAAGACCTCCTCGGCTTTCCAAATAGCGGGGATTATAGGTGTGAACCACTATCCAGGTTGGGGAGCCCACTTCCTTTCTGTTCTTTAGAGACAGGGTCTCAAGTAGCTCAGGCTGGACCAAAACTCGTGGCATAACCTAGGCTGGCTCTGAACGGATCCTCCTGCCTCTACTGAATGCTGGGATCACAGGCTTGCGTTAACAAGCCCAGTTGGGTTTGCTTGTTTTCCATTAGTCCTTTTTTCCTGACACACTTCGTCTATCCTGTATTTATTCAAAGTAATGAAAAGGTGGGTGGGGAGTGTTAGGGAAACACACAGTTGGTTACAGTGCGTTTTACACTTTCATCAATAGAGCCCTAGGAAAGGCACGGAAAAACAAAAACACCCTTCTTTCCACCTCATTCCGCCCTGCCAAAGCCAGGGTGAGAAGCCCTCAGCAAGAACTCATGAATGCCACAGCTGTGGGCCATGGCTGCCAGGAGTCATGAGAGATTTCCCTTGTCCCTTTGAGACAGGGTCTCATATGCAACCCTGGCTGACTTGGAACTTGCTATGTAGATCAGACTGCATTTGAATCGCAGAGAACCGTCTGCCTCCGACTCTGGAGTACTGGGCTGTGGGATCAAGGGCGAGAGTCACCACGTCCCGCTTTGATTTGTTTTCCTTTTGAGGGAATTAGTGTTCAGTTTTCATTAGCCTTCTTGGACTTGCCCCCACAAGTTCCCCCGTAGGGCCCAGATCACCAGTACCCCAAGATGAGTATTTTTGTGTGTAGTGGGTGTTGTTATGAGATGAGATCTTGTATGGCCCAGAACTCTGTACCTGAGGAAGACCTTGAACTCCTGCACCCAACCCACTTCGAGTGCCGCAGATCACTTGTCTGCACCACCACCTCTAAGATGTACTTCTTGCACACGGCAGAAATGAAGCCAAATCTAAAGACGATGAACAATGAGCCTTTCACCCCATTCAGCAAGCATGAGCAGAGCCGGTGCCCCAGAGCATCAACCAGCGAGAGGTGGACTGCAGCCTCCCAAGGTCCGGACTCCAAGGCACCCTGAGAGCGCCAGGGGGCGTGGTTGGGGGGGACTCCGCCTCGGGGCGTGGCCTTGTGGCGGGGCGCGGCGGGCTCCCTCGGGGTCCCGGCGGGCGGGCACTCGGCGGCCGCGGCGCGATGGAGGCGCCGGCCGAATTGCTGGCCGCGCTGCCCGCGCTGGCCACAGCGTTGGCACTGCTGCTCGCTTGGCTGCTGCTGCGGCGTGGGGCGGCCCCGGCCCCGGCCCCGGAACGCTCGTCCCCGACCGAGGCCCCCGGGGCTCCGGCACCGCCTGAGCCTCCCGAGCCCAGCGCCTCGGAGCCCGCACCCGCGGGGCCGCACCAGCCCGAGCGCATGGCGGAGCCGAGAGAGCCCGTGGCGGAGGAGCCGGCGGACGAGGGGAGGCAGGTACGCACCGGGTTCGCCGTGGGGTCCCCGGTAGGACACCCACGAGCCTGCCGGCTGAACCTCCGCAGGAAGGGCCGAGCCAGTGGCTGGCAGGAAAGGAGGGTTCCTGCAGCCGGTACGCTCCATCCTCCCCCAAAGTGGAGCTGGCCTCTCTCCCTCCCTTCCTCCCCGCTCTGGCGTTCCCGGGCCTCCCACGGACGTTGACACTCTGCTCTGCACCCTCCTCTCTCCCGGTCTTTGCCCACGCGTGCCCAAACCTACGGACACGTGCCCTTCTTCAAGATCTGCACTGGAGTTGGCTTACTCTTGACAGCTCACTACTTTGGGATGGGGTGTGCGAGAAGGGAAGTTGCCTGTGTCAACTTGAAATCCTGATTCCAGAGGCAATGTGGGCGTTGTGTGAGGCCGGGTGGACTGGACTGAAAGAAGAGCACTTACTGGGACCATGTTATTGTCGTTTTCAAACTGCTTGTAGGCTTTGACACCCTCAATCCCCGCCCCCTGGTTGCAGATGAGTCCACCTGGTGTGGAACAAAAGGTACGAGTAGAAGCCCTAGCCCCCCTTCTCCACTCCCACCCCCCAGCCCCATCCCCGTCCCCACCTCCCAGGAGCCGGCCCTCCGCTGACTAGGCCTTCTTCAGGGCACCCACCGCACTCCCCTTGCCCATTCTCTTATGCGCTGTAGATTGGATCCTGGCTTGCCTGAGGTTACTGGGAAGCTCCAGGCCAGGCCACCCACTCTGGTCTCCGGTCAGATTTTAACACTTTATTCTTCATCCTGAAGGCAGGATGGCTCGTAGAAGCCGCGGGCTTGCTGCGCTGGCGTGGGTATGGTCAGCATATCTGCCGGTGCTTCCTGTCCCTCGCTGGATATAACGGTTTACACGGGAGTGAAGCCCTTGGGACAGAGGAGGCGGCAGTGAGACTGGGCCCAGGCCTTTCTCTTTGCTGAGTCTGCCAGACCCCCTACTATCAGGCTCTTTGCTTGACAAGTGGGTGACTAATTGTGTCATTAGTGTGGCTTCTAACTTGCCCAGAGCCGGCTGTGAGGAGACGCTATTGTGTTCAACCCAGGGAGAACAGGATGCCGCTGGAGGCTCGCAGACCCGGGGTGAATGGCAAGTGGGGTTTGGGGGTTCCTCTCAGGACATTACGGGCTCCCTCCACCAGCTCCGTTTTAAACTGTTCCTCTAGATTCCAGCTAGACCAAGGTGTCTGTTGGGATGCAGTCCTGTCTTGGTCCTGTGGAGTAGAGCAGTTTCTTAAGAAACTTTCTACAAGGTTTTTCTAGACACTCACCCTGTAACAGGGTCAGTCCCAGTATTGAAACAGGGGCCTTCGTATAATTAACACAAGTGGGCATTTTGGATTATTTTCTGGTGTTGGTTGGTTGGTGAGGCAGATTCTTGACATGTATCCTGGACTGGCCCAGAGCCCCACTGTGTACTCAAGGCTGACCTCAAACTCAAAATCCTCCTGCCTCGGCTTCCTGAAGCCTATGACTCACACCTTTATTCTAAGCACTCAGGAGTCGCAGGAGGACAGATCTCTGTGAGTTCAAATCAAGCCTGGTCTGCATAACGAGACTCCCCCATTCCAAAAGAAAAACAAAACCAAACCCTAGGATTACAGGCATGGCCGCCACACCCAGGCTAGTGGATACTTTGGAGGATGAGGTACCATGCAGGGAGTTCAAGGTGGCAGCTGAGTTGTCCTGAGGGAGTCCACCCAACAGTAAGGTAGTTTTCTCGTTTGGAGGTCAGGCCCATCACCTGTGAGCCTGGTCTCTGACTCCTGCCAGAAGTGTCAAGTGGGCAGAGTCCCAGGTGAGGACCTGGGAGACAGAGGCTCCTTTGTGTGTTCCTTCCACGCCTTCCAGTCGTGGGCGTCGGTGTTAGAAGTTGTCTTAAAATGGACTCAGGCATTTCCAGCTCTTTCTTTCTTCTGATGCTCACATTGTGTGTGTGTGGGGGGGGGGAGGGCAGGGATAGCCCTAAGGAAGAAAACCCCGGGTTGGGATGAGAGGCTGTGGCTGGATGATGCCTTACATGGAGGCTCCCTTCGCGTTCCCTAGGTGGATCAGGGCCCACCCCACTTCTGTTGGGCGGGAGCCACTGCCCCCAGAGGCTTAACGCGCCTCTCCCCCACCTCATTCTCTTCTTTCTATGTTAACTACTTTCCCCTAATCCAGTCTGCTCCTTTCCCAGTGAGGCCTGGCTGTCTGTGGCAGCTGCAGGCTCTGCCTCGCAAAGCTGATTACTGAGAAGGATCTGGAGTCCGGGAGGCAGCCTTCAGCTGCTGCATAGATGACTTGGGTAGCGGCCCCCTTGCAGGCTGGGTGCCCTCTAGGCCAGGGACCAGGTGGTGGGAGGGAACAGTTATAGACTGAGGCCCAAGTGGGGACTCAGGGAGCAGGGTTGGGGGTGGGTAGGCGTGAGGCCAGCCAAGCTGAGGTCCCGTCCTGCGAGGCCGGCCTGCCTCCCCCACCCTCCAGCAGTTTACAGTCCTGGGCAGGGACTCAGAGAGGTAGGATCATATTATTAGAATGTGTTTCATCTCTCTCGTGGGGATTACTTGGGGCGGGCAGTGCAGGAAGCATGGTGGGTGGGCACACCTAGTTCCCACCGAGAACTATGAAGCAGCTGTGTCCGGACAGAAGCTGGTCCTGCTTAGAGCTGGGGAGCAGAGCTTTCTTGATGCTGATGTGTATGCTGGGGTTTTAGGATGGCCAGGTCTCCTGCGTGAAGTCAGCATCCCGGCAGGGTCATGTTTGTATGGGAGGAGTCCCCGAGAAGCCATGGCACAAAGTTCGGTCCAATGACTCTGAGGTTAGACATTTAGTCTGTGCCCCAGTCAGGCCTCCTGGCATGTGGGTTCTGGTTCCACTTGGGAGTCTGAGATGGGAGTCTCACTTGAGTCCAGGGGTCAGAGATCAGCTGAGGCAGCGTGGCAAGACACTTTCAAAACAAACAAAAAATAAACACACAGTAGGGGCTTATTAAAAAAGATCCATTTTTATTTTATGCGTATGACTATTTGCCTGCATGCATGTGTGTGCACTACATGCGAAGACCAGAAGAGGGCGTCTGGTCCCCTGGAACAGGAGTTAGGGATGGTTGTGAGCCACCACGTGGGTTCTAAGAACACAGCCCAGGTCCTCTGCAAGAGCATCAAGTGCTCTTAACTAACTGCTGAGCCATCTCTCCAGTTCAGAGTAGGGACTTTTGTGTATGTGGCGCTTGGAGTGGAACCCAAGGCTTGGGTGATTTCAGTGCTGGATTTTTTTTGCGTGCAGTACTGACATTAGGTTTATATGGAAAAGGTCCTAGAAGGCTAGGGATGTTGCCCAGTGGTAAAGCCCTTGTCTAGTTTAAATGAGGTTGTGGGTTAGATTCCTAGCACTTAAAAAGGAGAGACCTATTGTTAGCAAGATACACGCTAAAGTTCTCTATATTATTAATACTCTTATTTATTTCACGTGTGTGCTCATTCCAGGGCCATGGTGCACATATGGAGGTCAGAGGATGACCTGTGAGGATCAAACTCAGGTCGTCAGGCTTGGCAGCAAGTGCTTTAACGACGGAGCCGTCCAGCAGCCTGCAGGCCGGAATTCTCTGTCTGGATTTAATTAGTTACACAGTGTGACACACAGAGAGAAAATATAAAGATGGCAGAAGGGTGGGTCTAGGTGAGAAGCATGTGGGTTTCACTGTATTGCTCCTTCAGCTTTTAACTCGAGCTCCACCTTGTGACCCCGCCATCCCCAACCCTGTTGACATTGGAAGCTCACAGACCCAGCCCTCCCACAGTGATCGAGGGACAGTTGAGCCCTTCCCTGTCAACTCATCTGACTTAGCAGTCCCAAGTTGGTCCCATTTTGTCCTCTTACCAAAACAGGTAGGAGAGGGCCAGATAGATGCGTAATAGTTCCTGTCCTATGGGGCCAGTCCTGTCTTAATCACCTTAGCTGATATGATAAGACACTGTTGACAGGTGGCTTTCCTTGCACCTTTGACTCCTGGATTCCTAGACACTGGAATGCTCAGGTCTCGGAGCAGCAGGCTGGACTCTGGGGAGACCTCCTGTCCGTGTGACCTTACATGGCAGAGAAAGGGACTGCCGTGGTGTCTTGTAGTATTTTTATGAGGGCTCTAATCTCATCTGTGTTCCAGACTCATCTCACCCAGTCACGTGCCAGGTCTGTTGTACTGAGACAGGATTTTATATAGCTTCAGGGTGTCTTGAACCCACTGAGAAGACAAAGGTGGCCTTGCTTGTAGAGCAGGCTGGCCTCGAACTCACAGAGATCCACTAGCCTCTGACTCCCAAGTGCTGGGGTTAAATGCATGTGCCACCACTACCCAGAGACCTTGAACTCTTGGTTCCCCCCAATAATAATAATTAATTTTTTTTACATTTAAAATTTTTTATTTTGGATGCATGAGTGTTTTGCCTGAATGTATGCTTGTGCTCCATGTGTGTACCTAGTGTCCTCAGAGGTCAGAGGTGGACACTGGATCCTTAGAACTGGAGTTAAGGATAGTCTATGAACCACCGTGTAGATGCAGAAAACTGAACCGTGGTCCTCTGAAAAAGCAGCCAGTGCCCTTAACTTCTGAGCCACCTCTCCATCCCCTAAAATTTTCTTAATTGCACACACAAGCACACACACACAGAGCAGAGACTGCAGAACCCCAACCTTGGAAAAGGGGAGTTCCTGGAATAGCCTTTCTCTTGGGTAGATTCTTATTTTTGAGGACTCAGAGGCTGGAGGTAAATTTCAAGACCTGAAAGCACCTCCTCCGCCGGCAGTATGGGCTGGGCTGCTAGTCTGCAAGTCTCTCTGGGCCAAACCACCCACGACTCCCACGCCTAGGGAATCCAAAACTGGCTTCTCTTCTGGCTAAAAGCCTTAAAGAGATTTTAAAAGCTGCCTACTTACCCTGTGTGTATCTGTGTGTGTGCGTACGTGTGTCTGTGTGTAGGCATGAGCCTGCTG